ACCTGTTTTACAAAATTTTTCCAATAATTGTTTGATTTATTACTGAAAATTGGGAGAATCTGCTATATAGCACATTGTCAATATAATTACGGTTCAGATATGTTGCAGTTTTAAATATAAGCTTTATTTCTTAAATTGAATTTTCTCAAACACATAATTTTTGTCTGAAAGGAAGCACATTTTTGAGATGGCCTAACTCAGTCAATATCACATAAATCAAGGTTATATTTTAACAGCATATTCATTATATTGAGAAGAGTTTTTTCCCCGTCAAAAAAGCTAATTTAAAAATGATGACTGAGCTGGGTTTTCACAGAGGGTCCCATTTATGCATGTAAATTAAATAAAAAAGCATTTCTCCATTACTGTCTTCTATGCGCCTTCTTACTTGGAGTCAGAGGTGGATGCTTCATCACTCAAAACAGGAGGTTCCAGCATGGAGTTGTTACTCTTCAGAGACACATGGCTGGAAACTATAGAGTCTGATATCGGTCTTTGATCCTCACTCTTGTCATGGAGACTCATTTCACTTCGAAATTAGCAATCTGTTCACATAAATAGATAAAGTACACAATTTAAGCACAACAGGGAAGACCTTAAAAGAAAAACAAAATCCCATTTTGGGTGTGTATACTATAGCTGTTTCAATCCACCTAATTTTAATGCACATTTTGCACATAAAAATGCTTAATGAAAATGGCAAGATGCACATCCATTTTGAACACTGAGAATTAAAAACATATACGCAGTAGGATAAACCTTTTATTTGAAAAGAAAAATGTGCATGAACTTTGATAGAAACACATTTACTGAATAAATGCTAACATGCATATAAAACGGTAATATGATTTAGTTTAATAGGAAATCAAAAATCATTAAAAAAATCGCACAACCATTTCAGGATGAAAGGTTATTTGAAGATAATATGGTAACTAGGCTTATATATAGGCCTATAGAAACTATAGTCTGAAGGGCAATCTCTGTGTGTTTCTATATTTAACTTATCTTTCTTAATCTACAGTTCGTATAACTTTTGTAAATTCCTTCATTTGATTACATTCTTCTCTTAATCCATACATTCTGTTTATTTTTTCACTTTTACACCATAGTATTCTTCATTTGTTGATGGCAATTCCTTATTTAAAGGCAGTTTGTTATAGGCCTATTTCAAATTGCACTTGTACATACATTTACCGTGTGATATGTGTCCAGTTGAAGCGAAATATTCGCGACTGCTACAGAAGGAGAGTAGCTAAATTTAAAGCAAAAGATACGATCATTATAAAAACATACATGCACAGAACTCGAATGAAGCATCTTTGGATTTTGAAGAATATCTCTTACAAACATAAATTGCCTAAGACAAACTGCCTAAGCGCTGCACAGGACAGCTTATTGAGGAACTTACTTGAAAATACTGTAGTTCCTGGTTATGATTCTCCGAAAATGTCTGCCTGTTGAAGATATTTTTCACTTTCGGTTCGAAGAAGCGAACGGACTTCCGCCCTCAGAGCGTAGTTTATATCAGGTAAACATCAAAATGGAAGAATGTCTGCGCAAGCGCGTCAGGTGGATTAAGCCTAAATCTAAAAAAAAATGCCCTTTTGCGTACGAATTACATTAAGCCACATTATAAATTCACAAAAATGAGAACCCACACAAACACAGTTACAATGCTTCTTTAAATGTATTATCTAATTTCTTAATTTTTATATTGAGCAATAGTTTTGATAATTGTAACTTCTTATAGATATTATAAAATATATTTTTAATCACTAAGGATTATTCTGCAAAATGTGAATGTAGTAAAAATAGCTACCCTGATTCTAAAAATAACCTAGAAATGAACTTTAAATCCTCACTTTCCACACTCCTTTTTAGCCAATGAGCCAATGAGTAAAAAGACAAGTATAAGAAAAATAAAAACTTCTAAAAAAATGATTAAAAACAGATTACAGTGTGTGTGTGTACTGTATGTGACTGTGTGTAAGTATGTATAGGAGAAGATGTGTGTGTGTGTGTGTGTGTCTTTTTCTCTCTCTGTATGTGTATGAGTGCGTGTGACTGTTTTTGTCTGTTTTTCTCTCCCTGTATGTATGTATGTGTGTGTTTGCAAGTTTGCACATGACTGTGTGTGTATGGGAGACTGTGTGTTTGTGTTTCTATGTCTCTCTCTGTATGTATGTGTGTGGTGGGGTATCAGTCTGTATGAGAGAGAGAGAGAGAGAGAGAGAGAGAGAGAGAGAGAGAGAGAGAGAGAGAGAGTGCATGCATGCATGCGTGTGTATGTGTGTGTGTGTGTGTGTGTGTGCGTGTGTAAAGCAGATAGCAGATACAGAGAGTTCAGTTCAGTCATGATGAAGCTCCAGACAGCAGCTCTGACTTTCTCTGCTCTCCTCTGCGCAGGTCACACTTTATTTATTCACTCTTTCTGCTCATTATGATGTTGTGAATATCCAGACTATATAATATCACAATTATTATTATTATAATTACACGCGTTCATGCTTCTTCCTTCTGTATTATTACAGTATCCTGTGTTCAGTCAGTGTTTATTGTTCTTAAGTGATTGTTGTTGTTGATTTTGTCTGTTTTGTGTTCATTATTTGTGTTATTATCTCTGAAATGTGACTCATAATCCAGCGTCACACACTTTATTTACTCAGCAGTGTATATCTCTTCTTTTATTTGTTCTTTATTTTGCTTTAGCTGCGTCTTTCAGTGTTTTATTATTAAAGGGTCGATTCACCCAAAAATAAACATTCTGTGAATTCCTTCAAATACAGAATATATTTAGAATATTACTCTATTTAAATGTGGTTTGTATTGATGTATTTGTAGCCTAATTTAAATGTCTTTAAATGTATGTTTAATAATTCTATACAATTATAACTGCTGCTTTACTAATATCACACTTTAAAACAACAAAGTGCTAACAATAGAGTACAAATAAAAGCATTAAAAAACTGTGTAAAAAGAAATAAATTACAATTATTTTAATAAAAGTAAAAAGAAAAACAACAGCATTAAAAATGCATGTAAAGGAATGCCATAAAACTAATAAAATGAAAGGTAATGTATGAAATAAAAGGTAAAAACAAAACAAAATTAATAAAATAAAACATTTAAAAAGCATAACAAAAACAGCATATAAAGTAATATAAAGAAAATTAAATAAGAAATCTAAATTAATTTAATAAAGAAATAACAAAACAGCATATAAAGCAATACAAAAATTATAAAATAAAAATAACAATGAACAAATTTAATAAATAAAGAGCAACAAAAGCATAACAAAAAGAGCATAAAATATAATTCAATCTAATTAAATAAAAAGTGAAAATAAAACTTAATAAAATAAAAAGTAGAATATTAAAAAACAAAAATAACTCAGTAAAATTAAACGTAAATAAATAAAATTAAAAACAGAAGCATAACAAAAACAGCAAATAAAAAAATACAACAAAACCAATTTAATAAAATAAAAATAAAAACAAACAAATTTAAGTAAATAAAAACAAACAAATTTTATTAAACAAAACAAATTTAATAAAATAAAAATAAAAACAAATTTAATAAAATAAAAAATAAAAACAAACTAATTTAATAAAAAATGTAATTAAATAAAAATAAAAACAAACAAATTTAATAAAATTAAAATAAAAACAAACTTAATTAAATAAAAACAAACAAATTTAAATAAATAAAAGCAAACAAATTTTATTACAATAAAACAAACTGATTTAATTAAATTTAAATAAAAACAAACCAATTTAATTAAATTAAAATTAACAAATTTTATCAAAATAAAAGTAAAAACAGCATATAAAAAATACAATAAAACTAATTGATAACAAAAATAAATAAAAATACAGGAAAATAAAAATATATAATAAAAACTGATCAAAATATACTGCTGTGCTAAAGGCCACAGTGATCAACAGCTGATAAAGAGCTCTGTTGCTGCTTTATTCTGTTGCTTTTACTGTGAGATTAATAGAGGAGTATTAATGTACTCGATTACTAGTATCAGTAATGTGGTAAATCTGACTCTGCTCTAATCAAATCACCTCAAAATAAAGAAATCGAAAGTGATCAGAGAAGATTTTCCTGCTTTTCATTGCTTGAAAATGTGGAGTTTGATTAGTGTTTGTTTACCAGAGCCGGACTGAAGGTCAGCGAGAGCACACAGTTCATCTCACACACAGTCTTCGGCTGGGTCTGCTGCTGTTTCAGTGCGGGTGCTCCGGTTTCCCCCACAGTCTAAACACATGCTCTATAGGGGAATTGATGAACTATGGGTGTTTTCCAGTATTGGATTGCAGCTGGAAGGGCATCCGCTGCTTAAAACATGTGCTGGAATAGTTGGCGGTTCATTACACTGTGGCGGCCCCTGATGAATCTGAAGCTGAAGGAAAATGAATGAATGTTACTGTGAGTCTCCTGTAAACACAGAGAGATCAGTGAGGGGTCGACTCCTGTATTAGTCAATACATTAACTTATGAAACTCTAGTGTACGTCTGACCGTTATGATTACTGCTCAAACCTGATGTGTGTGTGTGTGTTTTAACGGGACACAATGTATTTATGTGTTTGGTGTTTAGTGTGTGCTCAGGGCCCCGGTGTGTCGGTGCGTCCCCGCACTGCTGCTGTGCGTCTGGGGGAAACGGTGAGTTTTCAGCACCGTGTGACCAGCCGAGCTCAGCCGGGGATGCTGGAGTCAGGGAAAATGAACAACCAGACACTGGGAGGTGTTTATACAGCACAAACACACACACACACACTGTGCATACATTCACAAACACATACAAGTATCACGCACGGCACGCACACTCACTTACGTATGCATATACAAACATACATATACACACTTACTAAAAAGACATGCGCACACACACACACAAACACACACACACTCACTAAAAACACATGCACGCACACACACACTCAGAAAAAAACTTGCACACATACATACTAAAACACTTGCATACACCAAAAAC